CCGGGCCATACAGTCATCGCGACCCGTTGATGGCCATACTGCAGATGCTGCATCGCCTGGAGACAAAGGTGACGAGACTGACCGACGCAAACGTCGATCGTCGGGTACGTGTCATGGCACTGTGGCACGCGTCAAGTGTACGAAGCTCATGCGGCAACAGGACATTCCGTCGATGGAGGCACCGATCGAGGCACCGTCCACGCAGGAGGCACTGGACGGTGGCGTGCTGACGCCTCTGTCCATGACCTCGCCGGAGTAAATGGCCGTTGGAGTTGCGCGGGGGTGGGTGTGATGCGCTGTGCGTTAGTGTCAGATAGTTTCAATCCTTTTCCGGACCTGTTTTCCATTTCGTGACTGTGCCGTGTAGCATCGCCAGCTGAAGGATGACCCAACAAGCTTGCGTCCCTTCCTGCCTGTTCGTGCCTGGTTCTTGCTTCGTGCTTGGTTCGGTTCGTGCCTGGCCCCTCCGATTCCCGAGGACATGGCACGCTAAATGACGCCAGGACAATGGAGCGCCTTAGCTGCAGATGAGGTGCAGACCAGGTGGGGGGCGGCCTTGACCTGGTATTGGCGAGTTGGTCAGTCCTCGATTGCAGCATCGCATGAACCCTCCACCCCTGATCGTCGCTTACCAGCAACCAGCACCCAATCGCCCACGACCCGGACGAGCGCCGGTCGAGCACGCAACCACGCCACGACGACGTGCCTGGTGGGCCGATCCCATAGCCGCCCGCGCATGGACGGCGACCTTTCATCGCCGGAGCGGGGTGTGCTGGCCTGCGTGCGGCGTGCGGCGGGTGTTGGCCATGGCTATAAAGCAGGCGGCATCAACCGGGCGGCGTCAATGGCTGGCTTGGGCATCTTGGCCTTCTCGTTCTCGCAGCCTCTCATCTTATCCTGCCATGGACGATCCGCGCGTCCGAGACCTGTTCACAGGCATGCCCCTGTCCCTACGCCGGTGGGACGAGCCGCACCCGATGTATAGGCCGGACTACCGCTATCTGTACGAAAACCTGCACGGCGCCATCACGTACTGGCAGCAAGAATATGAAGAGTTGCGGGCAGCGTCCACGGCGTACATCGACGGCCTCCAGGAGGAGATCCGCCGCTTGGCTTCCGAGCTAGCTGCCGCGAAGCAGCGCGACCAGGAGGTTCGTCCGTCCGTCGTCTCGTATGCGTGTGACCACATGCTGACCAGGCCAGGCTCGTGAGCCAGCAGCGCCTACGACACTCGAAAGGCGATGTGGGCTTTTTCCGTAGATACGTGAGGGCTG